TTTTAGTTGGTTGATTGTGTCCGGTGTCGAACATGTCCATGCCAGGCATGATCGGGCATACAAGGAGTTTGAGATCGAACTTTTTAGCACAAATGTCCAACAAAATAATTAATAATTTCAGGCAAAAATCGTTGCAATCCTCAATTGCAGCGATTAATTCCCTTTATACTTAGATAAGATTTAGTTTTAGTTTTTAGTTTTAAGATATCAATTGTTATACTGACATGCAGGTTAAAAAACCTGTTTAAAATACTGAATTGCCAAGACATGAACAATGTAAAAACACTTAGATATATATCATAACAATTAAGGCTGGTACGATACTGCAGTAACTGGAGCACCTAGGTTAAAATGAAATGTAATTTATTTTGAAATTGGAACAAATAAAAAGTTAAAAAAAAAAAAAAAAAAAAAAAAAAAGAGATCGAACTTTTGTTATTGGCTCTCTATATTCAAGTAGGTTCGTTACTGGATATGTCTTGCTCAGATTGTATACTAGAACTACTTTACTCGGAAAACTGTAACAAAAGAATGCAAACACTTTTCTTCCAATGGCACCGAATGAAAAATCACCGTTTGACTCGCGCGTGAGAAAAAATAATAAGAGGTTTTTGTAATTTTAAGGATTTTTAGATACTTTGCCAAGACATAATACACAAAGTTGTAAACAGATGTGTAAACAAGAGATTATAATCATGTGTATGATATAAAATTGGTTGATTCCAAGTCACATTGCATGTTTTATAAAGGTTTAAAGGGTCCTTCTAGACCAAATTATGGCTTTCAAGACCTAAAACCTAAATTGTTACTCGGGATGAGTATATTTGATTTTTCCCGGTGCGGTTTGAGTTTTCCCACATTTTTCCCGGTTTTTCCGGCAAATCCGAATTCCTAAATGTCGTAGAAGTTACATTAAATCTGTAGAAAATTCTGTAAAATTCGTAGTTTTTCCCTTAAGATTAAAGGACTTCCCTGAAGTTCGTAAGACTTCTCTGAAATTTGTAGAACTTCTCTGAAGGTTCGTAGAGATTTCCTGACCGTCTTAGGCAAACAAGATTATTTTCCTGATGGACTTATGAAATTCCTGGTTTTTTCCCGGTTTTTCTTGGTGAAAATAAATTCCCGACTTTTTCCCGGTTTTCCTGGTTTTCCTCGTTCACTTGCCACCCTGGACTATTAGCACAATCTCACCATTATTTCATGAGAGCCACTTTGTTTGCAGCGGTTTGAACCATCGGAAAACACTGCGCCGCTTCGCTTCGCTGCAGAAAAAAGCGAAACCAAAGCTGATGCCACGGAAGGAAATGTTTTACTGGAAACAAAGGGTCAACTGTTTGGGTTCGGGTTACTATGCTCGGCAATCTAGATGTTCGATTCAATTCTGCCCAAGATCTCCGTAGGGAGTTGTAGCAACAATCAATACGAAACTAACGATTTTAAATTGGCTCACCACTTTAGTAGCCTATTGGTCCCAAGCAAACGATTAACGTACCCTATTCTAGTTGAAATTCTATTACTACACTATGTTTGTTTTGATTCGCTATGAAAGTTTGACAGATAACATCAGGGGTGTGTGGATTCATGCAGAACATGCAGGGGTGAGTGAAATAGCTTGGGACTGCTTGGGACCGTTGTTCTGGTACTGAGTGAGCCAAAAATAATAATGATTTTCTTCGGGACCCAGTGGTCTTAGAGTTACCTCTATGGTTGTAGTGCTCGCGGTTATTCAAATTAAAAATTGTATGTGATTCTACATGTGGTGTGAGATATTTTAACGTTTGCTCTTCTTTCAGTGAACATATATTTAGTGGAACTGTAGGCTGACGATAGTGATAACTCGCGTATAACGTTGTGTTGCCGATAGTACGTTAAGGTAGAGCCAATGCTAGCAGAATAAAAATTATGAACATTTAGGATAGCATTTAGGTTAAAATAAAATCGTTTCTCGTTCTGAAAGGTCTGAATGATCAGAAATAATTCAGAACCTAAAAAAATTATAAGTTATAAAAGTGTTCAGTAAGAAAAAGGTAATAGTTTATTTGCATAACATTTGTAAAAGGTTAAATTATGTGACGTGCATGTAATAACTGGGTGGGTCGGTCCATTCTACGGGATCTTTTTCTCTTCCCCAGCCGGAGGTCATTCGAGGACAGCGGAACAGAGCGACGAGTGGACCGAGGACCACCATTTTCTTGTTGGCAAAACGGCTCGAGACAAACACGTGTTCGTGTAACCGCTACCTTATTGACGCCATTATACGAGTGTACTAATAGTGGTCACCTTTCCATGGTCTTCAACATCGTCGTCGCTATGATGGGTGACCTATCAATCAATCAATTATAAGGCCTTGCTCAATCTCAAAAGTGCATGACGCATGACGACACTAAGTAATTTTCTGTTCGGCAAGATCCCATGGGCGTGCAGATGAACAACAACAACCACAGGGTAGAGTTGAACTACAGATACGAAGTTTATCTGGATCGTGCACCATTTCCGAGGTATGACATATATGAAGTGTGGGGACATTTGATGGTACCTTTCGCGAAGCTCCGAGTTAAGCTAGCGCGCATCGCAGACGACGCGGTAGCAACTGTTTATAAACAACTGACCCTGAAATGTGCGACATTGTCACTGCTGCTGTTAAGTTGTGTATTTTCTCCTACCGTATGGGGGTCTATTACTGGTTAATTTCTTACTCAGATTGATATTGGAATTTGAGGCCTTTGCATCCCCTCATACTTAACCAGCTTGCGCTGGTAACTATTCTATATTTGCTATTTTTTTTACTGGATCTTCTTATTATGGTTCTTACTCCTACTGTGCCTTTCTTAAGACCCTACTTTGTACTATTAATAACTTATTCAGTCGTTCATACTTTAACTAAATTTTGTCATGTTAGCCTCTAATGGACACCTTATGCAACGTTTGTTTGATTAAAAAAAACGCGTTTTGCTGATATGAAAATTTGCCTAACTGACTTACGTTAATTATGCGTTTAGTTGAGTTATACCATTCTTGTTGCAATTGATATTTAATGTTAACATTGTATAGGACCATTACGAATAATTCACTATAAGGATTGATGTTAGAATGTGGGGTTGTTGCAGCCTAATTAAACTACCTCAAGGTTTTGCCAAAGCCCAGGGAATTACGGCAAGTTATTCATAATCATGTATAAATCTTAATCTCCGATAGATTTCATTTTAATCGCAGCTATGTAAAAACACACCTATATATAATAAAGACTAAAGTTTAATCTAATCTCAATTAATAATATTTTTGAGTGTACATATGACATGCGTCAAACGCGTTTACTGTACACGCACACGAACGAGAGAAAGTAGAATTTTGGTTTTCGAGACCGGTTATCCACGGCTTTTCTTTTTCATTTTCTTCAAAGGTGAAAATTTCCATGGATTTAAAAAAAAAATTTAAGTTACTTTCAAGTATTAACTTTGGCTGTGCAATGCTTGCTCCAAAAGTTATGATTTTTTTTTAAAGTTGGTGGTGCCCGAAGAAATTGGAAAACTTTAACTTGAGTTTTCCGGAAAAATCAGCAACGCTGATTTTTTTTAAATTTTTATTTTTTGGCTATGAATCCATGAACTTTACCTATGGACGAAATTTCATAGAATTCGGAGACAAATCCTACTTCGCTTCTCATAATTCAACCTTTTATCCATTCGGCCTTTTGCCCCCCTTCACATCATTTGACCTTTTATTCCCCTTCTCATCATTCAACCTTTTGTCTATTCGAACTTTTGTATCTTCGATCTTTTGTCCATTCGACCTTTTCCAATTCAATAAACTTGATCATTGATCCAAGTGGACCAACCTTCGGGAAAATTTAGTTTAAAATTATTTTTGATTAAAGTCGGAGTCGGAGTAACGACCTACTCCGACTCCGACTCCACGACTCCGATTTTGACTGCATAGCCCTGGTAAAGATGATGATCTTTTACCCAGCTAAGGGAAAATAATTAAATTAATTCATTCAAATGCACAATTCAACATAACAACCAATATACTCGAAAAATTGAAGTCTATGTAGTAAATAAATGCAATCGCGTTGACGTTATCCTACTTAAAATTCAAGATGATCATGAGCAATGCATAATAATTAGATAACGAAAGCGCCTAAGCCCACGAGACGCTGAACTTTCCCATGCCTAAACGTCCGTGATTTGTCTGGTTTGGTCACTGGCATCTAAGCAACGGCAATAGCGACGGTTGACGTTCTCAATTTATGCCAGCCAGCCTATAGCAGTCTCATTCAGTCGTATCGTAATCCGGTGACGAAAAGCAAGGCTGTGCTAAATGTTGTGTTGCAGTGCACTTTCAGCTCGTTTACAATGGTCTAGATTTGGTCTGTAGAACACGCTCGCCTCCCGAGTGTCCTGACCACAGTCGAAAGGAAAATTGAAAGTAAAAACACGCCGATCGACCGGGAGAACAGCGATTCCATTCCAGAGATTAGACAGTTTTAGAAGTCAACGACGCTTACGGGCTAGTGTCGTTATATACTAAAACAATACACGCAAGCAAGCACCACATTGCCTGAGAGATGCTTGGATAAATTATACCACAGGTGTGCGGCATGGAACGGAGCGGAATTTGACCCTTTCGCAGCCGGAGTGCTACCCATCGTCGTGGGACTAGTGACACGGGTATACGGATCCAGTGTTGAGTGGGTTTTTTCGCGAGAACTTCGACTCATTGCAGACTCACTCGTCGTGACCTTAGGCGCTTAGATGAATTTATTGAATTTAAATGCTCGTTAATAGGCGAGCATAGAACATGAACGAAAAAATAACAACGGTTTCACGGAGTTTCCTCCACGCTCGGGTAACTGAGTACTCAGTTCGTTGAAAGCCATTCCACTAAGGGGATGCAACTGGGAGAGCTGCGGTGCGATGAATAGTTTGGTGTTGTTTGGGTAAGACGTAAGGTTTTCTCACGGCGAAAGTATATACCTAATAGGTGTCATTGTTGTCTTGCAGAGTGCTCTTGATCAGCCGTCAGTTCTCGGCGGGACTTTTGCTGAAACAGTACAGTTGCGATAACTATGTGCTCTCCTGGTGTCAACTACACAATGTTACAATCCAATCGGATCGTGATCTTCAAATGGTGGAGTTCCCGAAAGTTCAGCAGATTGGATTTCTCAACGGATCAATACCATATTTTTCACATTTTTTGAATCTCGGTCTGTTCAAAGCTGGCGTACTGAGGATCTTTGCCCGTGGAACGAAGATCAGTCGTCTCACACTGCCAAACACGATCGAGCAACTGTATTTCCGAGATAACGATATCACATCGGTCGACATTGAACCCAGGACAAAGTACTCCATCAAATATCTGAGGATTCATGTGAACAAACTCCGAGATGTTTCGAGCTTCAAGTCACTGGTAAACCTAATCGAATTGAATCTCTGCGACAATCTGATCGAGCACGTATCATTCGACATATTCGCCGGGATGACGTACCTGAAGCAACTGCTGCTCTGTGGCAACCGAATCAAAACCATCACCGCAACGCTCAACATCAACCTGCCGAATCTGTATCATCTCGACCTGGCCGGTAATTTCCTGTTCAACGGAACCTTCCTCACACACTGGTACTTTCCTCGATTGGGTAACTTTTCCCTCCGGGACAATCTCATAACACGTCTGGACGTCCGAATCATCTCGCAACGTTACAACCTGCTCCGCATTCTCGACGTCGAGCACAACTCGCTGGACTGTGATACGTACCAACAGCTGCTCAAGTTGGTCCATCAGCGCAAAATAATCTACAATGTCGACAAGCGGGTTTGCAACATTCCACCGTCCATCCTCCCCCGGTCCATCCCACCCAGTGGTGACAACGAGGTGGACACCGCTGGCGATTTACACCAGCAGATTCGACAGCTGAAGGAACGAATCTATCAGCAGGTGAAGATTATTTATAGCCAGCGTATCGAGATCCAGCAACTGAGCGCCAATCTCAGCACACTAATGGAACAGTTTGATCTGGTAGCCGACACGGCACAGACCAATGATCCATTCTAATTTTAGCGCCATGAGTCTTTTATTTTAGGTTTTTGCATGCGAGGATGATGTGCGAGTGTTTATGTTTCATAGTTGTATGAACTTAAGCGTGTCCGGTTAGTGTCTAAACAAACAAACAAACATACAAATGATGTCGACAATGTGAAATAAAGATTGTTTTCTATTCATACCTTGATCTTTTCAAAATTGAAACGTTATTGCCCGAAAATCTGCTGAGTCAATCAGACTAAGTAACTACTAGGGATGGATTCAATACCGATTGCGAAATGAGGATTGCTTATTGCGATGATCCATTTTATCAGAAATGTTTGTTTTAGGTATCACGTGAGGATAAGATAGGAGGCTTTGTAGTATGTAATTTAAATTATCATCCAAGTTAATTGAGAACTAGGCTTCGCCATATTTGCATTTGTATATTGGGTGCCATATTATGCCTAGTAGAGTGGTTCAAACTGTCAATTTAGCTCCAATTAACGTAATTGATTTTTCATCAGCTTAATATAAGCTTTTTTCATATTTCCTTTATTTTCCGTCGGTCTCTATTCCGTAACTGAGTGCCAACAACCGACCCTACCTATCGAACCCATCACACATGGCACAGTGGTTCAAATGGTGAAAATTGTGTGGGATTACGCCAGACATTTTGAGTTGAACTATGTGTCTTTGGAGAAGTTTCTAAACATGAGCAGAGTTCCACGTCAATTGACGTGGTAGCGCGGGCACCCATGAATCCCGCCTGGTATTGCCCCACGAACTCTCTTGCAAATGGTGACAGGCGGCGGCATAGAATTTGGCAGAGTACCTTGTAGACGGCGCTCAGCAGTGTGATCGCGCTGTAGTTGCAGCAATCCAACTTGTCACCCTTTGTGTAGATTGGGCATACGACACCTTCCATCCACAATTCCGGTAATATCTCCTCCTCTAAAATCTTAGCAATTACCCAGTGCAGCGCTGTAGCCAGTGGTTGATCTACACCAGTTGCTTTGTTGTTCTTCAGCCGACCGATCTCCTCCTCGACTTCTTGAAGATCAGGAACCGGTAGCCTGTCGTCTTCTTCGTGTGCTCCAAGGTCTATTAACGTGCCACGTTCGTTTTCTGCTGCATCACCGTTTAGTTGCTCGTCATAGTACTGCTTCCACCTCTCAATCACCTCACACTCGTTCGTGAGATAGTTACCGTCTAAGTACTTGCACATATCGGCTTGCGGCACGTAGCTTTTGCACAAACTATTTAGCTTCTCGTAGAACTTCCGTGTGTCGTTTACGCGGTACAGATTTTCCATCGCCTTGCGATCTCGGTCTTCCTACTGACGGTTCTTCTTCGAAATACCGAGTTTTGTCTGTTCCGCGCTTGTCTGTATCGCTCCACATTCAATCTCGCGCGGTGTTGCAGCATTCTCGCCCGTGCTGTGTTATTCTCTCCTCTACTAACAGTTTGCGTTCGCCATCAAACCAGTCATTTCTTCGGTCCGGGATCGAAGTACCTAGTGCCGCTGCAGCAATATTACCTATAGCGGAACGGATGTCCCCCAGCCATCTTCAAGAATAGCTACGCCAAGCTGGTCTTCCGTGGATAGTGCAGCTGCACGTAATCCTGGACAACTCCGGCGGCCCGTAATTGCTCAATGTTGAGTCACAGTGTTCGACTTCGACGGGTGTTGAGCGCATGCATACTGCGGTACGTGCGAACGTTGATAATGTCGGAGAAGAATTTCCCGTCGATTAGAACGTGATCGATTTGGTTTTCTGTGTGTTGGTCAGATAATCTCCAGGTGGCTTTGTGGATATCCATGCGGGGGAAAAAGGTACTTCGGACTACCATACCAAGGGAGGCTGCAAAGTTCACGGATCGTTGGCCGTTGTCGTTCGATACGGCATGCAGGCTGTTTGGCCGATTGCCGGTCTGTACATTGCCTCCCGTCCTACCTGAGTGTTCATGCCGCCGATGACGATTTTGACGTCCCGTTGCGAACAGCCGTCATACACCAGCTCCAGCTGCGCATAGAACGCTTCTTTCTTGTCGTCGGGTCTCCCTTCGTGCACGTTGATGATGCTGTTGTTGAAAAAACGACCCTTAATCCTCAACTAGCACTTCCTCGTGTGGCGCATCTTACCCAGCACTACAAAGCCGGTTCCCAGCTCGTTGATGGTGCCACAGCTCTGGTAGAAAGTAGCCGCTCGATGCCCACTTTTCCATACCTTTTGTCCGTCAAGCAAAGTTCCTGCAACGACTTCGAAGTTGCGTGGTTGAAGTTCGTCATAGATTAACCTATCGCAGCCCGGGAAGCCGAGTGATTTGCAGTTCCATGTTCCGAGTTTCCAATCGTAGTCCCTATTTTGACGCGTAGGTCTGTGCCGATTGTTTCGATTCGTATTTCTTTCTTCAGTATTTGCAGCTTTATATTTTTTTTCAGCGTGAATTGTTGGGGGACCATTGTGCATAGTTCTGTTTAGAGTCCCACGCTGGCACTAGGACGGTGAACAGCCGCTCCTAACACGGAGAACTGACGCCGTTTTGAGCCGCACCTCCATGGTGAACAGACGCTCGAGTTTGGTGAAGCATTTCCTCTATCACCGTACTTTGGAATTTATTATCACTATTGATTCCCACTTGTAACGTGATATGTGATGAAGCGTTTGTAAATGTTGGAACTTGATGCTGTTTGAAAAAAAATAGTTATCGCGATCGCGATTGAACATGCAGGCTTAGCAAGTGACTAGTTTCGATGTGTTTGAGAAAGTCGCTCACGATTTCTACGGTCGCATATGCTACACTATACTATGTTTTAGGTGAGTTAAGGTATATATTGTTGTGTACTTTGACTATATGTTTTTAGTATTACTTCTACGTGAAGTCAACGATTTACATAGTTGAAGATGCTAATTTCAAATAACAGACTGTAGTGGTAATTTTTATACGATAGATGGAGTAGATGAAAGCATAGAGTTGATAGTTCCGTTAGAGTACGGCAGTGTGAAGATTGTATATAGATATTAGACAAGCGAGCTAGGACAACTTTTAAGGAAGGTACAAATCGGTTTTTTCATCTCTCTTTACCAAACTCCCCCTTTGGAGAGGGATGGTGAGGGGTGTCCCCCCCCCCCCGCCACCACTGGCAAAAAGAGATGAAAACCGACACCTCACCATCCCTCTCCAAAGGGGGAGTTTGGTAAAGAGAGATGAAAAAACCGATTTGTACCTTCCTTAAAAGTTGTCCTAGCTCGCTTGTCTAATATCTATATACAATCTTCACACTGCCGTACTCTAACGGAACTATCAACTCTATGCTTTCATCTACTCCATCTATCGTATAAAAATTACCACTACAGTCTGTTATTTGAAATTAGCATCTTCAACTATATATATTGTTGTTTTATTTCAAAATCTCTTTTGAACGTTCGAGATCTTAGTCGGAGAGGTGTGAAATAAAAAGTAAGAGGTTGTATTCAAGACACGACCGTAGATTTGACGTAGAATTACGTGCTCGGTATCAATATTCGGCGACTGTGTTAGGGAAACCACTTTTTTCCCATCACGAAAACGCTTTGTTTTCTGATGACAAAATTACGCATTTTCGTATACAAAACGCATGGAATTTTTGGTTTATTCAATAGATAAATAAAATGATTGGAGGAATTTCTTGCTAAAATTTTCCAATCGCCAGATATTCGCGATCAATCATATAAGTTCGAGATTTTTTTGCTTTTTTCTAGCATCCTGGGAGAAAACCTTAATTAATTCGAAGTGTTTCTGGTTAATTGGCAAGGTCATGTGGTATTCGGTCATTGCGCGAATTTGTATGTACCACTTCAAAACTGTTACGCATTTGACCACAAACGTTTGGTTGCTGGGTACATGATCAAAGAGCTTTGGAGGTGATGTGGCTGGCAGCAAGGCGAACGAACGTTCAATGAACATTAAATTTTTAAACAACAATAATTTATGGTGGTCCTGAAAAGAACTGGTTTGTCGTGATGGTTGAGTAATGCTGAGCTATTAGCTCGGCTATTACGGTGTTCAACACGGATGAGGCTGGCGAGCTGTATGTTGTTTGGAACGAGGGTGACGCGCTTGACATAGATGGTCCACGACGAGCAACTGAATCCGATCAGCGGTTGAGGACAGCCTTGATAGCTAGCTACTTGCGAAGAGCCTTTCGTTGTGTACTGGAGTGCACCACTCACCACACGCGGTGATTTCAATTTTTGTAATTCAATTTTGAAATTTGTGTTAGGGAAAGCACTTTTCGCACGCAATCGGTGATAATTTTAATTATCATAGCAACAGTTGCACATTCGTGCTTACAATAGTGACATTTTGAAAAATGATAAAGCATTAATTTTAACAGATTCGTAGAAAAATTTCCTATTAATTAAATTTTGTTTTAAATATTAATCTCTGGATCAAAATCAGACCACTTTTACGCCGCAACCGACTTTGGTTTTTGGAATTGCACCCCCAATGTTGCCTTAAAAATACATGGTACACACTTAAACAGAGACCCTGAGTTCGGTAAAAAAAAATACCGTCTTAGATCGGTAATGCTAAAAATTACATATGTTTCGCTGTTTTCTCGCTTTATTGATGAAAACTGTAAATGAAATAACCGAATTTCGGCTATTTAATTTTAATTTAATTAAAACGGTAAACATTTTTACCGGCAGGTCTGTAAATCAGCTTCATCACTGATTTCAGTGAAATATTTTACTGAAGTTTCGGTAAACAAAGCGTTCCATTACTGAGTTCGGTAACGGTCTCGGTAAACGTCAAACTCACCATATTGTGATTTTCGATCGACTTTGAAAACATTCGTGTTCGTGGAAAATAAAAAGGTGAAATTATGGAGGCTGTCATGCCAAGATGAGCAAATCGTAGATAATTTCCTTAAGTAATTAATTTTCGTTATCTTAATAAATATCGATTACAGATGGCCGATGTTGTTGTATGTTTTTTTTTCTGTCGGTCCAAGTTCCATTCCCGTTGGCGACGATCTGAAAACAGCATTTGGAATCTTCATCCAATGCTTCCGGTTTCAGTGTAGCGCCGAATCCTTCCGAATGGGTGG